TGTGCAGTGCGACCAGGGAGCCGCCAACAGGAGCCCCGGAGTGAGAGTTTCCTCAATTGGGAACTGCTAGGGGAGAGGGAGAGACCAGGAACTGGGAGATGATACCAGGCACTCACGTCATAAGAGTGAGCAGTTCCAAAAAGAGACCCGTGAGGTGCAATCTTTCTGCAGGGGACTAGTGGGTGCCACTCCCTGCATCCAGGGTCCCTGTGGCAGAACCAGTCTTCCCACCCAGGTTACCTCCACTATCAGGAGGGCAGACACACCAGTTTACAACAGACGGCGCCACCTGCTGGCTGAGAAGAGAAGCAGGAAAGATAGGAATCTCTAAAGCTAGCTACAACCCTGGCTTCTTCCTTTGAGATTTTTGTTTGTTGGTTGGTTGGTTGGTTTTTTCTCTTATACCCTCCATCCTCCGGCCCTCACATCCCCAACATATGTGGAACCAAGAAATTTGCAAGAAATAGGACTTTTGAGGACTGAGTCATCTGAATAATATAATATAGAGGTGTTGTATATGCCCTTTATTCATTTCCTTTTTATTCTTTCACTTTTCTTTCCCCCTCCAAATTTTACTGTTTTAACATCTGTATTTTTCTAAATACATAAGTGTGTTTGTTTTATGTACTCTACTGTCATCCCACATACTTGCCTACCCTAAATTACTTCCTGTCTATTCTCTTGCTACTAACCCTCTTCACTAGTTTTCTCCTTCATACTTCCTAAGACACATTAACTCTATATCCTCATGTCCTACCTCCTCAGCATATGGTCCTAAGCCCACCCCCAGGTTATTGTCCACTGTCAGAAACTGTAAACCTTTTTACAAAACTACTGATTATATCATGAAATTCATCTGGAAAAATAAGAGACCCAGAATAGCTAAAGCAATCCTTAGCAGGAAGAGAGAAGCAGGTGGCATCACTATACCAGACCTTAAACTATACTACAGAGCAATAGTAACAAAAACAGCATGGTTTTGGCAACAAAACAGACTGATAGGCCAATGGTACAGAATAGAGGACACAGAGACTAACCCACAAAATTACAATTATCTTATATTAGACAAAAGTGCCAAAACATGCGTTGGAGAAAAGATAGCCTCTTCAACAAATGGTGCTGGGAAAACTGGAAATCCATATGCAACAAAATGAAATTAAACCCTTATCTCTCACCATGCACAAAACTCAGCTCAAAATGGATCAAGGACTTAGGAATAAAATCAGAGACCCTGTGTCTAATAGAAGAAAAACTAGGCCCTAATCTCCATCATGTGGGATTAGGCCCCAACTTCCTTAATAGGATGCCTATACTCACAAATTAAAACCAAAAATCAATAAACGGGATGGACTCAAACTAAAAAGTTTCTTCTCAGCAAAAGAAATAATCTGTGAGGTGAATAGAGAGCCTACATCTTGGGAGCAAATTTTTACCCCTCACACATCAGATAGAGCACTAATCTCTAGGGTATATAAAGAACTCAAAAAGCTAAACATCAAAAAAAAACAAATAACCCAATCAATAAATAAACCAAGGACATGAACAGAAGAGGATACTCAATCAATCAACAAATATGTGAAAAAATGTTCACCATCTCTAGCAATTAGAGAAATGCAAATCAAAACTACTTGAAGATACCATCTCACTCCAGTCAGCATGGCAGCTATTATGAAGACAAACAACAGTAAGTGTTGGCAACGATGTGGGGAGAAAGGCACACTCATATATTGCTGGTGAGACTGCAAACTGGTACAGCCAATATGGAAAGCAGTATGGAGATTCCTTGGAAATCTGGAAATGGAACCACCATTTGATCCAACTATCCCTCTCCTCGGACTAAAACCAAAGGACTTAAAAACAGCATACTACAGGGACACAGCCACATTAATGTTTATAGTAGCACAATTCACAATAGCTAAACTGTGGAGCCAACTTAGATGCCCTTCAGTGGATGAATGGATAAAAAAATATGGCATATATACACAATGGAAGATTACTCAGCAACAAAAGAGAATAAAATCATGTCATTTGTAGATAAATGGATGGCATTGGAGAAGATAATGCTAAGTGAAGTTAGCCAATCCCCAAAAAACAAATGCTGAATATTTTCTCTGATATAAGGAGGCTGACTCATAGTGGAGTAGGGAGAGAGAGCATGGGAGGAATAGATGAATTCCAGATAGGGAAGAGGCATGGGAGGGGAAGTGAGGGGGCAGGGGATTAGCAAGGATGGTGGAATGTGACAGACATAATTATCCAAAGTACATATATGAAGACTTGAATTGGTGTGAACATACTTTATATACAAACAGAGGTAAGAAACATTGTTCTATATGTCTAATAAGAATTGTAATGCATTTCACTGTCATGTATCTAAAAAATAAAACTAATATTTTTTTTAAAAAGATAAGAAACAAGAATTATCTGTTCCTATCACTGCTGTTTTACATTTAATTAGATATCCTATTAGGTAATTGAGCAAGAAAAAATAAAAACCTAGTATCAAAATTGAAAAGAAATGAGTAAAACTATCTTGACTTAATGGATGATATAATCTTGTCATCTATAATTCCTAAGAAATTACAAAGATCTACAGAGCTAAAAATAAGTTTAAGACGGTTGAGAGTATAAGATAAACAAAAAATAAATCAGATTTATTCCTTGGTATTAGCAACAAATAATCCAAAAATGAAACCAAAGAAAACACACCAATGACTTCTTAATGAAACAGAACTCTGCCTGGCAGCTTGCTGCAGACGTGTATTAGGCTCATGGGCAGACAGGTCTGAAGTCCTAAGATGTTAGGTCCCTGAAAGTAATCCTCAACCATCAATAAAGAGGAATTGGTGTTAGAGTCTGTAAACAAGTCTGGATGGTGCCTGGCATTTTGCCAGAGGGAGTGGTTTGTGAAGTACTGCCAGTGAGCCATTAAGTGTGGAGATTCCTTATTGGTTGACTGATGTATCTAGTTTATGCTAATTAAGATAAGCTGTGTAAAATGTATAAATACCTCTGTTGTCCTACAATAAACGGCTCCTACTCCTGCTGTATCAACGTTCACAAGTTGTTCGTCACACCCCGGTTATTTTGCCCAGCCAGCCGGCCTTCGGCAAATTGGTAAATAAATAACTCCTTTTCCTTGCCCCTCTGGGCCAATTCGAGGTATGTTTACACTATTTCCCAGAAGTCTCCATGGGCATTAACCCCTGGCTGCCCATGTGGTAACTTGCTCAGTAACAGATCTTGGACCTCTGTCTTTTCTCACCCTTCCCAGTCTCCTATCCACTTCCTTTTTTGGACTCCCCAGACCACTTTTCAAATAAATGACTTACACATCCATCTTTGACAAATAGTCTGTTTCTGAGAGGATCAAACCTAAGTGCTACGCATGGGCTTTTACCTCTTTGTCAACTCTTGACTACTCCTTTGTATCAAGCATGCCGTGCTCATTTAGAGAGACAGAATTGAATTGGGGGTGCGGGGGGACACTGAACTGAATTTGAGACTGCTAATTCAAATATTTTATCAAATCTATTTGACTTTGTAAAAATCTGTGTTTAGGTAAGAAGAAAATTTATTCTATCTTCAGGGGAATGGGAATATTGCAATCGGGAGAAGAAACTAGCAATGAGGAGAATGCTCCTATCTTGAGATTCACAAGTGTCTCAAGTCAGGCAGAAGAGAGCTTTTCTTTTATCAGGAAGAGTAAACAAGGTCGAAAAGGACAGATTGGGGAACCTTGAACAAGCCATGAAAGTGGAATGAGCTGATACTGGGTCAGAAAGTGTTTTGCCCTGGTATCTCCCCATCCCTAAAATGGGCCCATCAGAAGGGATAACACAGACCTCTCAGGCTCAAGGTGGGTAAAATTCAGGGACCTGGGGGAAAGAGAGAAGATTAACCTAGGTTTGATTAGCAAACACATTGTTCCAATTTATCATGGGGACAAGATATTTCCCTAATCATTTATAAGGAAAAGACAGAATCTAGATGGTTTATGTCTGCCTTTGTCATTTGTAATCGATGACAAAGGGGGTCATCTGACCTACCCAGGTCACATGAGGAAGGATGGTTTTGGCATCAAGTGAGTTCCTAAATACAATGGAATGTGAAGGTTTTCTTAATCTTCATGGATTTTCAGGAGCTCAAGTTTATTCAACAGAAAATCCCCAAATAGCACATGATTGGTGGTCTCCAAATTTTTCTTAGCAAGGAAAAATTTTCTTAAAAGAAAGTTTATAAGAACTTCTATATGCAAAACAGATGTGATTGGAAATTATCTGCTTTTGGAAGAGAGAAAAGTGGGAAAATTGCTACTGTGCAGCCAGCTCCTGGCCCTCGGAACCCTGCATCCCTGTAACAGGCTGGAACTCTTCCACCATATATAGAACTGACCAAGATGGCCTGAAAACTCCCTTTAGGTTTCCTGAACTTTAGAAAATTCTTCTTGACTGTAGGCCATAACATTCCTTTTCTTAGAGCATCTACTTGAGAAATTTGGAGTTGCAAAATCTGTCTCTGCCCAGTATAAATGTAAATAAATATTTTCCAAGACTCTTGCCAGTTATGCAATCTGGTAACATCCTTCTCAAGGGCTTGGGAGTTAACCCTTTGAAATGTAAGCACTAAAGGAGAGAGCTTCTCTATTTTCCAGTCTCTCTGGGAAGATGGGAGTCAAAACATTAATAAATATCAATTAGCAAACACCTAATCACTTGGATCAACTAGTGCTCTAATGTCCTCTGGTATATTTCCCTTGGTTCATTCACTCTAGTTCTTAAATCCCTTCTCCTTCTGTTTCCTATAACTGCTGTCTATTTCTCCCCCTATTGTCTTGAAGACAGTCTTCCAGGTTAGCTTAACTCTATCCAGTGCAATTTTTATTTGATACCAATTATAGGTTAAATTATTTGCATGTTTTCTTGTGACTCTACATTCTAGAAAACTTGAGACATCAGTGATAAGGTATGCGTCCTGGATTCAGACAAATCTGCACATAATGACTATAAGGTACTTTTTTACTCATGAAAAAATAAAATGACCAGAGTTGAGTGAAGAGGTTTAAGGTGTCCAGAGACTCACAAAGACATTTTCTTTCTCTCTTACTGCTGAAATTCCTAGAAGTTTGTCAGCTCATTGCTGTTTGCATCGCAATCTCTGTTCCTGATATCTCCCAGTCCCTTTGTGTCTTGCTACACTAAGTGGAAACAGTGAGGTCTAGGTGCTCACTGTAATACCCCGCACCCAGGATGAAGGTTAGGAAATTCCTTTTGAGGGTTACTTTAGAAATAGGAGCATCCACTAAGCAGGTCCTTTCTCCGTCCCTTCCCAGAGAGCACATTCATCAGGACACTGGTACTTTGATCATTCCTTTTAACAGCTGCAAGTCCAGCTATCTGAAACAAAAACAAAAAACAACAACAAAAAAGAATCAATCAATCAAAATGAACTGACCAAGCAATGAGCAGGTGCAGCCAAAGGCGGGCTCAATCCACAGAAGAAGGAAAAAACAAAACAAAACAGTTTTTTGAGTTGATCTAAAATAATACTTTGTTTACTATTCAGTCTTTTTTGCCCAATGCCTTCACATCCCCTTCACCACATTTAAGGATATTTGCATATAAAGGGCACTCTTTATTTTCTTCTATGTTCATCTGCCCCTGATGCTCATTCCCCTCCTGAAGTCTAAGGCTGCCTTTGCAGCATCACAATTAGTTGCTGTGGAAATGATTACTTTGTCACAAACAGAGGATTAGAACTTCAGGTGGAGAATAAGCAGCAGGAGCAAATGAACTTTTTAATAAATAAAGGTTTTGTTTTCCTACAAATATACCTAAGCATGGAGGGGAAGGGAAGAAAAATCCACACGATAGGTAGGCATTTCCAAACTAGAAAATATTTAGAGTTTAAAAGTGAGAAATCATTCTGTCATGAAATCATAACTTGGGGGAGCTAAAATAAAAATTCTTCATACATTAGTAGGGACAGATTGAGTTCCTTTGGACTCAGAGACTCTCAATAGAGATGAAAGTGGTTGGGGGAAAAATAAAAGAAGGAAATTGAGACTAAGCCACAGGAATATTAGCAATCCTGATCCCCAAGATAATTTACAAAAATAAAATAAAATTGTTACCTTTAGTGTCCAAAGGATCAGTGTCACTTAACAACATTATCTGGGAAAGTCACTGCCAAGGTCAAGCAGCAACTCCAAATGAAGTGATTGCCATACATTCATCAGGGCTTAAGAGCTGCTCCTCTCTACCCATGAAAACAGAGAAGGCAACTGTGTGTTCACTCTTCCAAGAGCCCGGCCAACAGAAGAACCAGGGAGAGGAAAGGCTACTGGAGTCCGTGGGCTGATGAATGGGACAAGCTCAAGCACACAAGCTGGCTTTGTTACAGAGCTGAAATCTCCTGAGAAACTGAGGCAATGTGTAGAACCCTCCCCCTTCAAACCCAGATGCTTGGAATCAAGTCGGAAAGATTTCAGATGTTGCTCAGAGTAAATGAAATGAGTTTATCGAAGGAACAGGCAAAGGTAAAGTGGACACCCATAAGGGAAGGGTGGGTCCTCTCAGAGAGGGGCAGGACAACATGCCTCTCCTGCACTCCGGTTTTATTGGGGATCCCAGAGAAGTTCCCAGAGAGTCCCTCCATTTCCACCTCCTGACTTTGACTGACAGCATCAGACTTTCAAAGCTCATATTGCCATGGCAATCCTAGATCCCCTTGGCCCATCGATTCCTAATCATTTTTTACAGGTTTTATGGTTAGGAGGAATTAGCCTTACCTTCCTGAAGCTGGTCTGTGAAAAGGGTCACAAAAGTCTCTCCTTTCAAAGTAAACTTGGGCTCCTCTTATCAAAGTCCTTACCTGCCTGCATTTCCTTGCACATAACAGGTAGTTGGCTGAGGAATGTGACATGGACTGTCCACTTAGGCCAGACAGGGCTGCAGGTCAATTGCTTGTTTGGCAAAGAAAGCATGTGAGTGTCAGTACTGTGAGTCCATTTTATAGAATTATTCTCTTCACCTTAAGTTCCTACCATCCTCATCTGTCTGTCCCCTAAAATATAGAACCATAAACCTGCAGGTGCCCTCAATTCTCTGTTGCATATCAGAGAGAAGTTCTTGAGATTGAGGGCAACACACAGTATTTGCAGTATCTTTTCTTTTCCCTATTACTTTCCTAAACAGTGAGACCTTCTCACATTTCCACTAATTTTCTAAGAGCATAAACACCTGCATTGCATAATAGCTTTTGTGCATTTGTGCTGGAGGGCACCCTGCTGCTGGCTCTGGGTCTCATAGGGGAGACAGCCATCTCTCCTGTGCACATCTCTCCCCGACAGTATATCTGGAACATTCATCCCTTTCTATAAAGCTGGTGTAAAATGACTCATTTTCTCCCATTTGAATAAAACTATAACACTGTCATCTATTCAAAGATGAATTGTCAATACTTACCAGAAGTTCAAAAGCATCAGCGAAGCTGGGTCTCGAGCTGTAGAATGACATCGAAGCCATCTAAAGAAATTGGCAATCAGAGATCCAAGGAATAGGAAATCACTGTAATTATTGGCCCCATGCTGGAAAACACTCATTCTCTTCGTGTCTAAAATTCTATGATCTCTTAACTTGTAAGATGGGTAGAATAGGTTAAAGAGAGGCAATCTTTATTATTAATCAGATACTATTTTTGCTTTAGTTTTTTAATGTTTGTTTTGTTTTTGAAGAATGAGGAGGGAATGGCGAATGAAGAAATACATCTTTGCTTTTGGTGAATGTCCCAAGTGTGCCTTGGGTCTTCTAGCTGGGCATCTTCCCAGTACTGAGAGCTGGACAGAGGAAAAAGCTGTGAGCCTTGACCTTTGGTTCTAGGCACCAGAAGCTCAGGTCTGGGCTTCTGGCACCTTCAACAGGTCTGGTCTGAGCCTGGGGGCAGGGAAACTGCCAGTTACACCCCAGGGGTTGGGTTGGAACAGGTGGAGGAAGGAGAACTGAGGGCAGATAATCCCACCTGACCTCTGCCACCCTGCAGGGCAACCTGCTCAGATGTGTCTTCTCCCGGAATGTCCCATGTGGCTCCCAACACCGAGTGTCATTGCTCTCCATCCAGGGAGCCTTTCTTGAGAAGCTTGAGAGTCGTCACACTCAGAAGAATGTGGACTAGAATTGGCATTTGTCAGACATTTGAGAAGAGAGAAGATGAGGACCTTGACAACAGCAAAAGGTGAAGGGAGGAAGAGACTCTGGGTTTGGTGTCCATCACAGCAAGATGCTTCTTAGGAAAGGAGAAGGTCTTTCCAGAGGTTGTAGGAAATCAGGAAAAAAATCCCTGTGTCTCCCGACACAGGAACATGAAGCACTGCTGAGGGCAGCGTAGATGACAGAAAACTGACAGTTTCTATCCATGTGAAAAAGCTAGTTAAACTCATTTACAAGGGTCAGTCCACTCCTTTTCAAAACAATTTAGGAACTGTATCAAGGACTGTGGTTTCTCAGCTGGCTTATTAGCATTTTTAGCAGGGGATGTCAGTCAAATGCAAAGCCGGGCTTTTTGTCTTCATGCCTCTTTGTGTCCTTTCTGTTGAACATGAGCTTGAAACCCTTGAAACAGGAAGCCCCTTTCAATCATAAGAAACTTCAAGAGTCAGTTTAAAGTGCAGCTCCCAAAGTAGGTTCTTCCCTAACCATTTACAAAACAGAAACCTTCACTGGGAAAGTAAACCGTCAACAGTGGGTACCAACACTCTTCATTTGCTCATTTAACAAATATTTCTGGATAGGCCACGGAGGTTGGTCACCCTGCCAGGTCCTGGGGGAGCAGGTGTGGTAGATCTTCATTAGAGTCCAGGACACCGACAGCCAGACACACAGAGCACATGGGAATTAACTCTAGGGTGGAAAACCAAATGCACTAACTGGGGACCAGTCATCCGCACTATTCCAGTCCTTGGTGCCACAAAGACTGGAGCATACTCAACTACAATGTAGATCTGGAGATGCAGCACCCCATTCCTAGAGCATAGCCCTGGTGGTCACAGTCAAACTGCATGATTGTGGGCAAGAACTCAGACCTCAGGACCGGAGTCCAGTTCTGCTTCCAAGGAGACCTGTCATATTGGACAAGATGTTGAGGCTCCACGGGCCTTGGTTTCCTTACCTGTGGAATGGGCATAATTATAACTCCCCTTTCCCACACAGGACTGAAGGAATTATTATAAGAAATTTGCCTAGCAAATGGCTAGTTCTACTGGTATTAATTACTGTTTTAATAAAGACATTCTTATTCTCTCCAAGGGGCATGTCAATACCAGTGTCCCCAGGAATCAAGATGAAATTCTTATATTTCTTATGCCTCCCACCACCTCACTCCCCCCCACCTCCATAATCACCCCACTTCTTCAGATCATTACTTGACTCAGGAATGACCATGCTTCTCCTTTTCTCGGCCTTATGCAGCTCATTAAGTATTCAGTGCCATTCTGAGAAAGTGAAGTGAATTAAAAGAGCCAGTAAATTAGTTTGTCTTTAAAATACCACTTATACTGTAAGATATGGTTTAGAATGTTTGGATAGTTAATGTTAACTGCTCTAAACTGTTTTTATAAAGTCCTGGGCCATCCAGAGCAGGAAAGCTTTGCAGATCGCCCTGAAATTATGTACAATCCAAGAGCAATTGTTATTGCATTCCTTGGGAATGAAAGGCAGGAGGAAGCCTTCTAGGGGAAAATAAAGCGTATCTCAAATGGTTTCCCAGTGCTTTGCCTTTGTCAGTAAGGGATAACTGTGCCCTCTTGCCACTCATTATCCGGGTTTTAATGGGTCTATACCTTATCCAATATGCCGTCCATCAATGTCCACAGAGCTGCATACTTCTGCTAGAGGAGGACCTTTTCCCCTCGTCCTGCTTCCACAAATAGGCAGGAATGAACTTTGAAGCTTTTCCTTGGAGAGCCCAAGGGGATTATTTTACCAAGAATCACATCAGAACCTGTACTAGACACAGATTGATCTTCTAGTATTAGCAGTATGTGTTTCCCTCTTCCACCAAAAAGGAATACTTTTGTGCACGCCCTTGTTTATTCTTGTACAAATAATTAAAGTTATTTTCCATCCTCTATCTTTTCTCTGATGTAATGCTCTTGCTTAAGACAAGACAGGACATAACTGTTGTACAGGATGGTGTTCAGTGTGTGTGTGTTTGTGTGTCTGTGTGTGTATTTAATCTCCTTGCACATTCACCCATGGAGGAGATTTCATTTTGTAATTATCTCTTTAGAAAGAGGAAGAGACAAGAATAAGAGATATCCAGAGAAATGATCCTTTGGGGGAAAAACGAATCTTATAATAAGATTGTAAGATTTTTTTTTCTCTATTTCTCTTCTTTTGTTCTTCATAATTGAAGGCATTAACATGAAAACCAGATCTCCCCCAGTCGGAGCAGTGATTGTCTATGTGGACCAACTATGGTCTATTTGTTGCTTTGCAGCCCTAACTAGAATCCTCATGGAGCTGTTCTTGGTATTTTAAAATGCCCTCTTCAGAGTGGCGAATGATCCACAGAGCACCAGCCACTACCTTTCTACAGATCCCAGGCACACGCCACGTAGGCAGAAGGAGCTTAGTGAGCAGCCTCACTCACCCCAAATTACCCCAGAACTGTGCAAATCTCCCAGTGAACTCACTCCTGGATGGGATTCCTTGGGTACCATTCTTAAGTTGACAAAGTAGGTGTCCACCCACTTCTGAAACACAAAGGCAAAAAGGGGCGGCTTCAGAGACCTCAGTCTCTGCAGAATCCAGGGCAACGTTCACATAGACAGAAATGCACACCATCATCTGAGAGTTCTACCAGTCCTGTCTCCCCTTTTGTGCTCTTTAGCTCGACAAATGGTGTCAGATAGTGCACAAGCCTGGCTCTTCTCTCTCCTTCTCTTTGATGACACCTGTTCTTGCAGAAGGATCTTACATTAGCAATTTTACTACACTAAAAATATAAGCTTAATTAAATTACTCCATCATTTATAAAGCCCTCTAATTGTAGACTAAAAGCTATTGTTCACTCAATAAAACTATAGCATTCCTCTTCATGGCCAGACACTCTGCTCCATTCCAGAATTTTTACGACTTACAGAAACCCTTACATAGTTCCATTCAAAATGCTGAGTCACAAGCTCACAGACAGGAGATCCTTTCATTGCTTCTTTCATAATTTCAGCACAGTAATCATTGTTCTATATTTGACAAAGGAGTTCAAAGTCATGAGTTTGACTCAATCAGATTTCCAATGCAAACAGATTTGAAATGGACAAAAATAAATGCTCTAACTTAACAGTGACTCTGTGAGCTAGAAAAAGCCATTGAATCAACAGTTTTGTAATAAGGGAAGTGAGGAAGGTAAAAAAAAAATGGATGTTATCCACCTGATCAAAAAATGATGAATTCTATATGAACAGTTCTTTCTCATCTAGCAATCTTACAAGAGATCTCATTGCACTAGTGTTAAGGAAAAAATTTTTTCACTATTTTTCAAGCACTGAGACTAGTGCTAAGAATGTCAACTTATGAAAAAAAAATTGTCCTGATATTTAGAAATTTAGTATATGTTGTTATTTGGTTTTACAGTAACATGTAATATTGACTGATTGAAACATTTATAAAGTATGATAAGCTCCCAAAATAACACCAGGCGGTCTTACCTGAGGAATGGGGAAAAATGCCATTGTCTTAGGGACTTATTAGGAATGTCTCAGAAGGATGAAGTCTGAATGGAATAGGTGTTGGACTTTGGGATCAGGTTCAGATCATATAAGGTATGTCTTTCAAAGCAGTAAACAACCCAGAAGTGGACAAAATTTGTGACATAATAGTGTAAGACCTGTGAACACAAGATCAAGGCAGCAAGTATAAGTAAACTAGTTGGATAAGTGAGCTTTTAGAAACCAGGATTCCAATAAATTGATCTGTAAGAATTTCCTGAAGTAAACACTGGAGACATTTGCTGTTGTACAGTCTTATCTTTCCCAGGCAAAAGTCCCCTGGAGCAAACAACCAGGTCATATTAATTAAATTGTTCTACAGTCTCATCTGTGCTGTATTAACACAGGTGATCTCAGCCCAGAGGTTCCTTTTTTGCTGTTCAAAGTAATAGACAGTCTTTTTAAAGTAATAGACAGTTAAAGTAATAGACAGTCTTTTTCTCCTTTGTATTTCTGTAACATTTATTTATACCTTCAGAAAGCATTATGAAGTTCTGCTTTGTGAAAGTCACCATGCTCTGTAATTTGGAGAATGCAAAGGTGAATTAAAAAAGACCCTAGCAATGAGAAGCCTAAGCAATAAGAAACATCAAATCTGACACAACAGAGATTTTAAAAAAATGTAGTATGAAAAAGAAAAAAAAAAAAGATGAATGCCTAAGAGGAGAAATTCTAAAGAGAAAGTGACTGATATTATCTGAGTGATTTTGAGAAACATTTTGCAAAAAGGCAATGACTTTTGATAGCAGTTAACATTGGGGCATGTAGAGATGAAGGGATGGACATCCCAAGCAGGTGAGTAAGCTAAGCGAAGGAATAGACTTTAGTGAGAAGCAAAAACTTGCCTACTGTAAAATACAGGTAGAAATTAAAGTCATAGACAAATGTGGGAATTATAATATGTAATTTGAAAGCTAGGCTAAATTTGTTACCTGTTCTTATTTGATGGGAAATAAGAAACAAAGATATTTAACTCATAATTTTATAGAGCTCCATAAAGATATGTTCTATATATTCCATAAATATTAGTCTGGAAGTTGTGTTAAACAGGAAGTTCTCTCCTGTTTCCAGAAATATTGTATATTGGACAATCTGAGAATTTTTCTACTGAAAGTTACTTAAAGATGTTGAATAAAATATAACAAATTTTCCCTCAATTACCCAACTTGCAAGAAAGTGAATGGAATCCACATGGGCTAATAATTATTTTTTTAATTTTTTATTGTGGGTTGTTCAAAACATTACAAATTTCTTGACATATCATATTCCACACTTTGATTCAAGTGGGTTATGAACTCCCACCTTCACCCCATATACAGATTGCAGAATCACATCAGTTACACATCCATTGATTTACATATTGCCATACTAGTGTCTGTTGTGTTCTGCTGCCTTTCCCATCCTCCACCCTCCCCCCTCCCCACCTCTCCCCTCCCCTCCCCTCCTCTCTCTCTACCCCCTCCACTGTATAACCCTGAGGGTCTCCTTCCATTACCATGCAATTTCCCTTCTCTCTCCCTTTCCCTCCCACCTCTCATCCCTGTTAAATGTTAATCTTCTTCTCCTGCTCTTCGTCCCTACTCTGATCTTAATTACTCTCCTTATATCAAAGAAGACATTTGGCATTTGTTTTTTAGGGATTGGCTAGCTTCACTTAGCATAATCTGCTCTAATGCCATCCATTTCCCTG